TGAGCTGAAAGTGGGGAAATTTGGAATAGGGCAACGGAACCCAAGGGGCCAGCAGTTGGCCGACTTCATGGAGAAAGAGGGACTCTTTATGATGAACTCTTTCTTCCAGAAGCGGCCCCACAGGAAGTGGACCTGGTCGAGATCCGACGGTTCGACAAAAAATGAGATTGACTTCATTATGACGACCAGACGACAAATGTTCAGTGATGTCTCAGTGATCGCGAGGGTGAAAACCGGCAGCGATCACCGAATGGTTAGAGGCACACTGAACCTAAACGTTAAGTTGGAGAGGTCTCGTCTAATGAAGTCAACGCTCCGTCCCTCTCGTGCTCTAATCCAAAGTCCCGAAACCTTTCAGCTCGAGTTGCAAAACCGTTTTCAGTGCCTAGAAGACTGCAATGAAGTGGACGATTTGAATGACAAGCTCGTGGAAACTGTCCATGCGGTCGGAGCTAAGTTCTGCAAGACCCGCCGCAGAAGAACACAAAAACTCTCCGATCACACTCTTAATCTCATGGCTGTTAGACGGGAGATGAAGCTACATTCTTCAACAGATTTGACAGCATACAGGCAACTGAACAGACAGATCTCCAAATGCATGCGGCGGGACTTACGCAACTTTAATACAGCTCGTATTGAAGAAGCGATCGAGCGGAACCAAGGCTCCAAAGTCTTTGCCAGAGATCTGTCTGCCAGAAAGAGCCAACTGTCAAAGCTGAAGACCGAATGTGGCGGCATCGTTTCCGGGGCACCTGAGATTTTGAGTGAGATTGAGAGGTTCTATGGGCAGCTGTACACGTCATCGTTGGAGCCACACGCAAGTGTGAGTAATGATCCAAGAGCGAGTCTTATCCGACATTATTCCGATGATATGCCGGACGTCAGTCTGAGCGAGATTAGAATGGCTCTCCAGCACCTTAAAAACGGCAAGGCCCCAGGCCAGGATGGAATTACAGCGGAGCTTCTGAAAGCGGGTGGAAAACCGGTACTTGAAGTCCTTCAGAAGCTCTTTCATTCCGTCCTCCATGGTGGCATTACACCGGAGGCGTGGAGCAGAAGTGCGGTGGTCTTGTTCTTCAAGAAAGGCGACAACGCTCTCTGAAGAACTACAGACCGATTTCCCTTCTGAGCCGCGTCTACGTGCTGTTTTCGAGAGTCATTACGAATCGTCTCGCGCGCAGACTTGACGACTTCCAGCCTCCCGAACAAGCCGGTTTCCGAAAAGGCTTTAGCACCATAGACCACATACATACCCTTCGGCAAATTGTACAGAAGTCCGAAGAGTACAATTTGCCACTATGTCTGGCGTATGTGGACTATGAGAAAGCCTTTGATTCCGTCGAAATTTGGGCGGTACTGCAGTCCCTTCAGCGATGCCAAGTTGACTGTCGGTATATCGAAGTGTTGAAGTGCTTGTACAGTAGGGCTACGATGGCTATCCGAGTACAGAACCAGAGTACGAAACCTATCCAATTGCAGAGAGGTGTAAGACAGGGTGACGTCATATCCCCGAAACTCTTCACCGCTGCGTTGGAAGACGTTTTCAAGCTTCTGGACTGGAAAGGATACGGTATCAACATCAATGGCGAGTACATCACTCACCTTCGATTTGCCGACGATATAGTACTTATGGCAGAATCGCTGGAGGACCTAAGCACTATGCTCAATGACCTCAATAGTGTTTCCCAACGGATAGGTCTTAAGATGAACATGGACAAAACAAAGATCATGTTTAATGTCCATGTCACACCTATGCCGGTAGTTGTTGGGAACACTAAGCTCGAAGTTGTTGACGAGTATGTTTACCTGGGACAAATAGTCCGACTAGGTAAGTCCAACTTCGACCGAGAGGTCAATCGACGGATTCAACTCGGTTGGGCAGCGTTCGTGAAATTACGGCACATCTTCTCGTCAGGTATACCTCAAAACTTGAAAACGAGACTGTACACCCAGTGCGTGTTGCCAGTGATGACATACGGAACTGAGACGTGGTCCTTCAGTGCTGGCCGGATGAGGAAGCTCAAGGTCGCTCAGCGAGCTATGGAGAGGGCTATGCTCGGAGTTTCTCTGCGTGATAAACTCAGAAATGAGGATATCCGCAGTAGAACCAGAGTGACCGACATAGCCCAACGGATTAGTAAGCTGAAGTGGCAATGGGCCGGCCATATAGCTCGAAGAACCGACAACCGATGGGGAAGAAAGGTTCTCGAGTGGCAGCCTCGTACCGGCAGGCGAAGTGTAGGGCGTCCCCCCACTAGATGGAGTGACGACCTGGTAAGATGTGCAGAAAGTCGATGGATGCAGGTGGCTCAGGACCGTGCTTTGTGGCATTCTTTGGGGGAGGCCTATGTTCAGCAGTGGACTGGTGAAGGGCTGTAATGATGATGAATGATGATAATTTGCGCAGGTCTACTGAAATATACGTGCTATTTAAAAAACGCGATGTCGTTTGCGCCTAACCTATAATTATTTTATTCACTGTGAGTACTAAGATGATTGGACGTAAGAAACCAAAAGCGTCTTTTCATTTAAGTAATGGATGCAAATATTGTTAAAGATGACGTAGCAACTGGTTAAATAAGTCTTTTATGTTGAATTTGAATACGTCTTTTATTCTAAAAAAATGTCGTCTGTGATCAACAGTTACGTCTAAAACTCTTACGATCTTTTCTAAAATATTGATATTTTTGAATATTAAAAAAATTGAGTAGATGCGCCTTTTTATTATGAGTCGAATGGTATATTTAACTCATTTTTTCAAAAATTGTTAGATGCGCCCTTTTTTATTATGACGGCAGCATTGTTAAGGCACAAAACAACTTTTACTATAGTAAGCTAGATGTTAACACAAATAGTGTCGGGATTCTCAGATGTTATAGAAGGTTCCGTGGACTTGATGAACAAGTGTACTTTTGTTTATTATAATTATTGCCTTCCATTCAATAAAATGTTAGTACGAGGGCTGCACTAAAAGTATCGGGAATAGAATATTTCCACTGTTTCTGTCATATTAAAATCTTTTTAATTGAAAAGTCCTTGGTTTTAAAAATCGAATACCATTTATTTATTTAAAAAAGATTCTCGGTCTTGCCACAAGGTTTTATCAAACTTGTTTAGTCATCGAGAAAATGGAATTGACTCGAGAAAATTCAACAGCGATGATTTATTATGACTTTCGAAGTGGTTTAATGCAAAAACAGTGTGTTGACCGGATGATTTCTGCATTTGGTGATGAAGCCCCATCCAAAACCACAATTTTGCTTGCTGTTTGCTGAATTTCAACGTGGACGTGTCAAGCTCAGTGATGATCCCCGTTAAGGTCGTCCAAAAACTGCAGTCACCCAAGAAAACGTTGATGCAGTGCGTAAGCTGATTGAGGAAGATCGACATGTGACATACCGCGAAATTCAGGCAACTTTAGACATTGGCATGAGTCAAATACAAATAATCTTGCATGAACAATTAGGTGTAAAAAAGTTGTTTTCCCGATGGATACCACATTCGCTTTGTGAAGAGCAAAAAGCGGCTCGCGTTACTTGGTGCGTCAGAACTCTCGAAAGATTCCACGCAGGATCCTCAAATGCTGTATACAACATCGTATCAGGTGCCGAATCCTGGATATACGCGTACGAACCCGAAACAAAAAACCAGTCACGAGTTTGGGTGTTCGAAAATGAGTTAAAGCCAACAAAAATTGTTCGTTCACGGAGTGTTGCAAAAAAAATGGTGGCCACGTTTGTCTCCAAAACCGGCCATGTTATGACTATTCCTCTTGAGGGAAAAAGAACGGTTAATGCAGAATGGTATGCTAGCATTTGTTTGCCACAGGTCGTTTCTGAACTCCGTAAAGAGAACTACAACCGCCGCATCATCCTCCATCACGACAATGCGAGTTCTCACACCGCACACAGAACAAAAGAGTTTTTAGAGCAAGAAAATATAGAATTATTAGACCATCCGCCGTACAGCCCCGACCTAAGCCCTAATATAATAAGCAAGTTAACTTTAGAGAAGAGAGTGCTGCGTGTATGTTGAATTCTGTTAAAAAATTATAAATATCACTAGATTTAATTTTTAAATTTTCTAATTCAATCAATAAAATTATTAATCGGTAATTTATAATTTTATTTATTGTTGACCAAAAAAATATTCAAATGAATTAAAATATGAAACACTGTAGTTTTGTATTCAACACCGACACGTATAGCGTAGTTAATTAGTATTGTAACGAGATTTGAAATCACGGTCCAACTTGCTGTTTCTAATACCACCGATTAAAAAATTGCGTATTTTGAATAATTAATTACTATACCTACAATACATTACAATTTATTCTATTATATTGCAATCAAATACATATTAGAAATATTGCAAATTGAATCAATGAAAATCATACAAAAATATATAACGCAAGAAATTCCGCGCGCAAATCCTATCGCGTGACAATCGAGAATCACTTCAGAATGTATTTTATTTTATTACAGTCAAACAAGCGAACGCAGTTTGGCAACGCTTTTCTTCTTTCAAGCATCTAGTTCAAGGTTAGGAAGTACGGCATCATTGCGTAATATCTACCTACGAATAATGGTATTTGTTGCACAATAATATTGTCTGCACGCCATCTAGCGTGCCAATGTTTAAACTGTTTTTGGCGCTTTTGCTTGTCAAAGTTGTCAAAAGTCACTTACACTACTAAAGAAGTGTCAAAATTTTTCTAGATTTCATTATTGTTTTTCTTATTATATACTGTAAGTTCCTTCCTAAAAAGGTCAACCGCGTGCACATTTTAGAGTAGAAAAGTGATAAAATGATTCGTTTTAAACAAATAGTGTGTGTTTAGCATATATGTCCAGACAAAAATGTATAGGCGGGCTATCGGAACATCCACCTTAATTACGTCTATTAAACACTAATTTTAACCTGAGAGTTATAAAAACAGGATTTGTTTTGTTCATATTTTTTGAATTTGTCTATGAGTGTATGATGTAATATTTATTGTTTTGGTCGCGTGTGCGCAGCGCGCGGCGCGCGAGTGTGGCGAGGAGCTGAAGCGTGCGCGCGCGGAGCTGGCGGCGGCGCGCTCGGGCGAGGCGGAGGCGAAGCGCGCGCTGGCGGCCGCCGCCGCGGCGGAGCGCCAGCGCCGCGCCGAGCACACGCAGCTGCGCCAGGCGCACGCCGCGCTGCAGCACAAGTGAGTGTGTGTGTGTGTGTGTACAGCGGCGCGCTCGGGCGAGGCGGAGGCGAAGCGCGCGCTGGCGGCCGCCGCCGCGGCGGAGCGCCAGCGCCGCGCCGAGCACACGCAGCTGCGCCAGGCGCACGCCGCGCTGCAGCACAAGTGAGTGTGTGTGTGTGTGTGTACAGCGGCGCGCTCGGGCGAGGCGGAGGCGAAGCGCGCGCTGGCGGCCGCCGCCGCGGCGGAGCGCCAGCGCCGCGCCGAGCACACGCAGCTGCGCCAGGCGCACGCCGCGCTGCAGCACAAGTGAGTGTGTGTGTGTGTGTGTGCGTGTGTACAGCGGCGCGCTCGGGCGAGGCGGAGGCGAAGCGCGCGCTGGCGGCCGCCGCCGCGGCGGAGCGCCAGCGCCGCGCCGAGCACACGCAGCTGCGCCAGGCGCACGCCGCGCTGCAGCACAAGTGAGTGTGTGTGTGTGTGTGTACAGCGGCGCGCTCGGGCGAGGCGGAGGCGAAGCGCGCGCTGGCGGCCGCCGCCGCGGCGGAGCGCCAGCGCCGCGCCGAGCACACGCAGCTGCGCCAGGCGCACGCCGCGCTGCAGCACAAGTGAGTGTGTGTGTGTGTGTGTGTGCGTGTGTACAGCGGCGTGCTCGGGCGAGGCGGAGGCGAAGCGCGCGCTGGCGGCCGCCGCCGCGGCGGAGCGCCAGCGCCGCGCCGAGCACACGCAGCTGCGCCAGGCGCACGCCGCGCTGCAGCACAAGTGAGTGTGTGTGTGTGTGTGTACAGCGGCGCGCTCGGGCGAGGCGGAGGCGAAGCGCGCGCTGGCGGCCGCCGCCGCGGCGGAGCGCCAGCGCCGCGCCGAGCACACGCAGCTGCGCCAGGCGCACGCCGCGCTGCAGCACAAGTGAGTGTGTGTGTGTGTGTGTGTGCGTGTGTACAGCGGCGCGCTCGGGCGAGGCGGAGGCGAAGCGCGCGCTGGCGGCCGCCGCCGCGGCGGAGCGCCAGCGCCGCGCCGAGCACACGCAGCTGCGCCAGGCGCACGCCGCGCTGCAGCACAAGTGAGTGTGTGTGTGTGTGTGTGTGCGTGTGTACAGCGGCGCGCTCGGGCGAGGCGGAGGCGAAGCGCGCGCTGGCGGCCGCCGCCGCGGCGGAGCGCCAGCGCCGCGCCGAGCACACGCAGCTGCGCCAGGCGCACGCCGCGCTGCAGCACAAGTGAGTGTGTGTGTGTGTGTGTGCGTGTGTACAGCGGCGCGCTCGGGCGAGGCGGAGGCGAAGCGCGCGTTGGCGGCCGCCGCCGCGGCGGAGCGCCAGCGCCGCGCCGAGCACACGCAGCTGCGCCAGGCGCACGCCGCGCTGCAGCACAAGTGAGTGTGTGTGTGTGTGTGTGTGCGTGTGTACAGCGGCGCGCTCGGGCGAGGCGGAGGCGAAGCGCGCGCTGGCGGCCGCCGCCGCGGCGGAGCGCCAGCGCCGCGCCGAGCACACGCAGCTGCGCCAGGCGCACGCCGCGCTGCAGCACAAGTGAGTGTGTGTGTGTGTGTGTGTGCGTGTGTACAGCGGCGCGCTCGGGCGAGGCGGAGGCGAAGCGCGCGCTGGCGGCCGCCGCCGCGGCGGAGCGCCAGCGCCGCGCCGAGCACACGCAGCTGCGCCAGGCGCACGCCGCGCTGCAGCACAAGTGAGTGTGTGTGTGTGTGTGTGTGCGTGTGTACAGCGGCGCGCTCGGGCGAGGCGGAGGCGAAGCGCGCGCTGGCGGCCGCCGCCGCGGCGGAGCGCCAGCGCCGCGCCGAGCACACGCAGCTGCGCCAGGCGCACGCCGCGCTGCAGCACAAGTGAGTGTGTGTGTGTGTGTGTGTACAGCGGCGCGCTCGGGCGAGGCGGAGGCGAAGCGCGCGCTGGCGGCCGCCGCCGCGGCGGAGCGCCAGCGCCGCGCCGAGCACACGCAGCTGCGCCAGGCGCACGCCGCGCTGCAGCACAAGTGAGTGTGTGTGTGTGTGTGTGCGTGTGTACAGCGGCGCGCTCGGGCGAGGCGGAGGCGAAGCGCGCGCTGGCGGCCGCCGCCGCGGCGGAGCGCCAGCGCCGCGCCGAGCACACGCAGCTGCGCCAGGCGCACGCCGCGCTGCAGCACAAGTGAGTGTGTGTGTGTGTGTGTACAGCGGCGCGCTCGGGCGAGGCGGAGGCGAAGCGCGCGCTGGCGGCCGCCGCCGCGGCGGAGCGCCAGCGCCGCGCCGAGCACACGCAGCTGCGCCAGGCGCACGCCGCGCTGCAGCACAAGTGAGTGTGTGTGTGTGTGTGTACAGCGGCGCGCTCGGGCGAGGCGGAGGCGAAGCGCGCGCTGGCGGCCGCCGCCGCGGCGGAGCGCCAGCGCCGCGCCGAGCACACGCAGCTGCGCCAGGCGCACGCCGCGCTGCAGCACAAGTGAGTGTGTGTGTGTGTGTGTACAGCGGCGCGCTCGGGCGAGGCGGAGGCGAAGCGCGCGCTGGCGGCCGCCGCCGCGGCGGAGCGCCAGCGCCGCGCCGAGCACACGCAGCTGCGCCAGGCGCACGCCGCGCTGCAGCACAAGTGAGTGTGTGTGTGTGTGTGTGTGCGTGTGTACAGCGGCGTGCTCGGGCGAGGCGGAGGCGAAGCGCGCGCTGGCGGCCGCCGCCGCGGCGGAGCGCCAGCGCCGCGCCGAGCACACGCAGCTGCGCCAGGCGCACGCCGCGCTGCAGCACAAGTGAGTGTGTGTGTGTGTGTGTGCGTGTGTACAGCGGCGCGCTCGGGCGAGGCGGAGGCGAAGCGCGCGCTGGCGGCCGCCGCCGCGGCGGAGCGCCAGCGCCGCGCCGAGCACACGCAGCTGCGCCAGGCGCACGCCGCGCTGCAGCACAAGTGAGTGTGTGTGTGTGTGTGTACAGCGGCGCGCTCGGGCGAGGCGGAGGCGAAGCGCGCGCTGGCGGCCGCCGCCGCGGCGGAGCGCCAGCGCCGCGCCGAGCACACGCAGCTGCGCCAGGCGCACGCCGCGCTGCAGCACAAGTGAGTGTGTGTGTGTGTGTGTGTGCGTGTGTACAGCGGCGCGCTCGGGCGAGGCGGAGGCGAAGCGCGCGCTGGCGGCCGCCGCCGCGGCGGAGCGCCAGCGCCGCGCCGAGCACACGCAGCTGCGCCAGGCGCACGCCGCGCTGCAGCACAAGTGAGTGTGTGTGTGTGTGTGTGCGTGTGTACAGCGGCGCGCTCGGGCGAGGCGGAGGCGAAGCGCGCGCTGGCGGCCGCCGCCGCGGCGGAGCGCCAGCGCCGCGCCGAGCACACGCAGCTGCGCCAGGCGCACGCCGCGCTGCAGCACAAGTGAGTGTGTGTGTGTGTGTGTACAGCGGCGCGCTCGGGCGAGGTGGAGGCGAAGCGCGCGCTGGCGGCCGCCGCCGCGGCGGAGCGCCAGCGCCGCGCCGAGCACACGCAGCTGCGCCAGGCGCACGCCGCGCTGCAGCACAAGTGAGTGTGTGTGTGTGTGTGTACAGCGGCGCGCTCGGGCGAGGCGGAGGCGAAGCGCGCGCTGGCGGCCGCCGCCGCGGCGGAGCGCCAGCGCCGCGCCGAGCACACGCAGCTGCGCCAGGCGCACGCCGCGCTGCAGCACAAGTGAGTGTGTGTGTGTGTGTGTGTGTGCGTGTGTACAGCGGCGCGCTCGGGCGAGGCGGAGGCGAAGCGCGCGCTGGCGGCCGCCGCCGCGGCGGAGCGCCAGCGCCGCGCCGAGCACACGCAGCTGCGCCAGGCGCACGCCGCGCTGCAGCACAAGTGAGTGTGTGTGTGTGTGTGTGCGTGTGTACAGCGGCGCGCTCGGGCGAGGCGGAGGCGAAGCGCGCGCTGGCGGCCGCCGCCGCGGCGGAGCGCCAGCGCCGCGCCGAGCACACGCAGCTGCGCCAGGCGCACGCCGCGCTGCAGCACAAGTGAGTGTGTGTGTGTGTGTGTACAGCGGCGCGCTCGGGCGAGGCGGAGGCGAAGCGCGCGCTGGCGGCCGCCGCCGCGGCGGAGCGCCAGCGCCGCGCCGAGCACACGCAGCTGCGCCAGGCGCACGCCGCGCTGCAGCACAAGTGAGTGTGTGTGTGTGTGTGTGTGCGTGTGTACAGCGGCGCGCTCGGGCGAGGCGGAGGCGAAGCGCGCGCTGGCGGCCGCCGCCGCGGCGGAGCGCCAGCGCCGCGCCGAGCACACGCAGCTGCGCCAGGCGCACGCCGCGCTGCAGCACAAGTGAGTGTGTGTGTGTGTGTGTGTGCGTGTGTACAGCGGCGCGCTCGGGCGAGGCGGAGGCGAAGCGCGCGCTGGCGGCCGCCGCCGCGGCGGAGCGCCAGCGCCGCGCCGAGCACACGCAGCTGCGCCAGGCGCACGCCGCGCTGCAGCACAAGTGAGTGTGTGTGTGTGTGTGTGTGCGTGTGTACAGCGGCGCGCTCGGGCGAGGCGGAGGCGAAGCGCGCGCTGGCGGCCGCCGCCGCGGCGGAGCGCCAGCGCCGCGCCGAGCACACGCAGCTGCGCCAGGCGCACGCCGCGCTGCAGCACAAGTGAGTGTGTGTGTGTGTGTGTGCGTGTGTACAGCGGCGCGCTCGGGCGAGGCGGAGGCGAAGCGCGCGCTGGCGGCCGCCGCCGCGGCGGAGCGCCAGCGCCGCGCCGAGCACACGCAGCTGCGCCAGGCGCACGCCGCGCTGCAGCACAAGTGAGTGTGTGTGTGTGTGTGTACAGCGGCGCGCTCGGGCGAGGCGGAGGCGAAGCGCGCGCTGGCGGCCGCCGCCGCGGCGGAGCGCCAGCGCCGCGCCGAGCACACGCAGCTGCGCCAGGCGCACGCCGCGCTGCAGCACAAGTGAGTGTGTGTGTGTGTGTGTGTGTGCGTGTGTACAGCGGCGCGCTCGGGCGAGGCGGAGGCGAAGCGCGCGCTGGCGGCCGCCGCCGCGGCGGAGCGCCAGCGCCGCGCCGAGCACACGCAGCTGCGCCAGGCGCACGCCGCGCTGCAGCACAAGTGAGTGTGTGTGTGTGTGTGTGCGTGTGTACAGCGGCGCGCTCGGGCGAGGCGGAGGCGAAGCGCGCGCTGGCGGCCGCCGCCGCGGCGGAGCGCCAGCGCCGCGCCGAGCACACGCAGCTGCGCCAGGCGCACGCCGCGCTGCAGCACAAGTGAGTGTGTGTGTGTGTGTGTACAGCGGCGCGCTCGGGCGAGGCGGAGGCGAAGCGCGCGCTGGCGGCCGCCGCCGCGGCGGAGCGCCAGCGCCGCGCCGAGCACACGCAGCTGCGCCAGGCGCACGCCGCGCTGCAGCACAAGTGAGTGTGTGTGTGTGTGTGTGTGCGTGTGTACAGCGGCGCGCTCGGGCGAGGCGGAGGCGAAGCGCGCGCTGGCGGCCGCCGCCGCGGCGGAGCGCCAGCGCCGCGCCGAGCACACGCAGCTGCGCCAGGCGCACGCCGCGCTGCAGCACAAGTGAGTGTGTGTGTGTGTGTGTGTGCGTGTGTACAGCGGCGCGCTCGGGCGAGGCGGAGGCGAAGCGCGCGCTGGCGGCCGCCGCCGCGGCGGAGCGCCAGCGCCGCGCCGAGCACACGCAGCTGCGCCAGGCGCACGCCGCGCTGCAGCACAAGTGAGTGTGTGTGTGTGTGTGTGCGTGTGTACAGCGGCGCGCTCGGGCGAGGCGGAGGCGAAGCGCGCGCTGGCGGCCGCCGCCGCGGCGGAGCGCCAGCGCCGCGCCGAGCACACGCAGCTGCGCCAGGCGCACGCCGCGCTGCAGCACAAGTGAGTGTGTGTGTGTGTGTGTACAGCGGCGCGCTCGGGCGAGGCGGAGGCGAAGCGCGCGCTGGCGGCCGCCGCCGCGGCGGAGCGCCAGCGCCGCGCCGAGCACACGCAGCTGCGCCAGGCGCACGCCGCGCTGCAGCACAAGTGAGTGTGTGTGTGTGTGTGTGTGCGTGTGTACAGCGGCGCGCTCGGGCGAGGCGGAGGCGAAGCGCGCGCTGGCGGCCGCCGCCGCGGCGGAGCGCCAGCGCCGCGCCGAGCACACGCAGCTGCGCCAGGCGCACGCCGCGCTGCAGCACAAGTGAGTGTGTGTGTGTGTGTGTGCGTGTGTACAGCGGCGCGCTCGGGCGAGGCGGAGGCGAAGCGCGCGTTGGCGGCCGCCGCCGCGGCGGAGCGCCAGCGCCGCGCCGAGCACACGCAGCTGCGCCAGGCGCACGCCGCGCTGCAGCACAAGTGAGTGTGTGTGTGTGTGTGTACAGCGGCGCGCTCGGGCGAGGCGGAGGCGAAGCGCGCGCTGGCGGCCGCCGCCGCGGCGGAGCGCCAGCGCCGCGCCGAGCACACGCAGCTGCGCCAGGCGCACGCCGCGCTGCAGCACAAGTGAGTGTGTGTGTGTGTGTGTGTGTGCGTGTGTACAGCGGCGCGCTCGGGCGAGGCGGAGGCGAAGCGCGCGCTGGCGGCCGCCGCCGCGGCGGAGCGCCAGCGCCGCGCCGAGCACACGCAGCTGCGCCAGGCGCACGCCGCGCTGCAGCACAAGTGAGTGTGTGTGTGTGTGTGTGCGTGTGTACAGCGGCGCGCTCGGGCGAGGCGGAGGCGAAGCGCGCGCTGGCGGCCGCCGCCGCGGCGGAGCGCCAGCGCCGCGCCGAGCACACGCAGCTGCGCCAGGCGCACGCCGCGCTGCAGCACAAGTGAGTGTGTGTGTGTGTGTGTACAGCGGCGCGCTCGGGCGAGGCGGAGGCGAAGCGCGCGCTGGCGGCCGCCGCCGCGGCGGAGCGCCAGCGCCGCGCCGAGCACACGCAGCTGCGCCAGGCGCACGCCGCGCTGCAGCACAAGTGAGTGTGTGTGTGTGTGTGTGTGCGTGTGTACAGCGGCGCGCTCGGGCGAGGCGGAGGCGAAGCGCGCGCTGGCGGCCGCCGCCGCGGCGGAGCGCCAGCGCCGCGCCGAGCACACGCAGCTGCGCCAGGCGCACGCCGCGCTGCAGCACAAGTGAGTGTGTGTGTGTGTGTGTGTGCGTGTGTACAGCGGCGCGCTCGGGCGAGGCGGAGGCGAAGCGCGCGCTGGCGGCCGCCGCCGCGGCGGAGCGCCAGCGCCGCGCCGAGCACACGCAGCTGCGCCAGGCGCACGCCGCGCTGCAGCACAAGTGAGTGTGTGTGTGTGTGTGTGTGCGTGTGTACAGCGGCGCGCTCGGGCGAGGCGGAGGCGAAGCGCGCGCTGGCGGCCGCCGCCGCGGCGGAGCGCCAGCGCCGCGCCGAGCACACGCAGCTGCGCCAGGCGCACGCCGCGCTGCAGCACAAGTGAGTGTGTGTGTGTGTGTGTGTACAGCGGCACGCTCGGGCGAGGCGGAGGCGAAGCGCGCGCTGGCGGCCGCCGCCGCGGCGGAGCGATTACGCGCCAGGCGCAAGTGAGTGCGTGCGTTACATGCGTAGTGTTAAGTCGGAGTCAAGGTTGAATAGGCAGGCTAATTAATAACAATTGCATACGCCCGCACCGTGCACCGAGTCCCTAGGTTTCGAGATTGACGGGGCTTGGTTAAGAATGTACCGCACATTGTCTTTTGTGTAAAGAGGATATTGTCAGTTAATGCACCATTGGAATAAACCATGTACGGTTTACCAAGGGACCACCTTTTGATAAAGCAAGCCTTAAAGGCCCTTATCATATTTATATTTTCTAGAATAAAAAAAAAACACAGGAGTACTGATAAGTTACCTTTTAAGTTAATATTCTTGCTAATGCGCTATGGAACCTTCAAGACAAATTATTCTTGTAGCATGCAAAAACCTAGACAGGCTATAGGTCCCTCTAACAACGACGAGCTCGTAAGCATTGCCTTATTTTACCTTTGATTAAATTCGTGTTGGAACCAATGACGCGATTTAGTACTGTTATGCGTTGTGATAAGGTGTGATTTGGTGTGCAGGGTGTCGACGTGGCGCGTGTCAGAACGCGCGTCGCTGGAGCGGCGGCTGTCGGAGGAGCGGCGCGCGCGCGCGGCCGCCGAGCAGCAGCTGCAGCGCGCCAGGAACACCTCGCGCACGCCCAAGTACATCTGCACACACAGCACACGACCACTCAACACACGAACACACAAACACTCAGCACTCTGCACACTAGCATTCTGCACTCGAGCACTCAGCACAAGCATACAAACGCTCAGCACACAAGCACTAGCACTCTGCACACCAGCGCAAAAACACAAGAGCACTTAGCATATAAGCACTCAGGACATAAACACTTGGCACAAGCATTCTCAGCACACAATGACTCATCATGCATGCATTCAGAATACCAACATATGAGCACTCAGCAGCAAAGCTTACGATCACTCAGCACACAAACATAAGTGCACTCAGCACACACTTTATTTTATGCCTATTTGTTTGTCTGTTCGGTACAAAGAAGAACGGTCACGCCCCATAGAAAAAACCCAAACCCGACAGAAACGAGTCATATCTCTGTTATTTTTTATATAGTTAAATTATATATTTTTTATACTCGAAATCAATGGCTAACACCAAAATATTGCCTTATGTTTTTGATCAGGCGTTACTCAAAAAAATACAAAATGCCTATTTATCTACAAAATTCATAAATGTACTCGTATGTAACTAAATGACGATACAATAGCCATGGGATGTATCTAAGTGACCTGGAGATACAGCTGGATTATATAAAAGTGCAGGAGTGAGACCGGAAGCCCAATTCCCCCCCCCCCCCCCCATCAACATGGTAGCGGAATTACACGAAAGGCTACCCCAGGAGGGTACCAGCACCCCTGGAGAATCCCTCGCTGAGCATCCACGATCATGTTATTTCACTCCTGAGCGTGGATGTTCAGGCTGCCCCGCGTATTCTGGGGGGGAGGGGGGCGCCATATTCAGCTCAAAAAAACGTATCTCTCCTACCTGTGGTACAAATTGGAGCACACCTTTGTGCCTCGGGCTGGAGTTTGCGTGTATGTCAGAGAGGACATTTGTTCTCGACGCCTCGGCAGTCTTGAAGGTTCGGACCTGTCCATCCTTTGGCTACGCGTAGACAGCGACGACCATCCGCGCGTCTACGGGTGCCTCTATAGGTCCCATAGCGGTAATGCCGAAACAGACCGACTCATCGACCACGTCCAAATGGCTACAGATTCCTGGCTACAACAGGTCCCATCCGCAGAGATCGTGATCCTTGGCAATTTTAACGTCCACCACGCCGAATGGCTCGGTTCACGTTTAACCGATCATGTGGGGAGATCTGTTTATGACTTTGCCTTGGCATATGGTCTGACACAACTGGTTACTTCGTCTACGCGGATTCCAGATGTGGAGGACCATACACCTTCCCTGTTGGACCTTCTGCTGAACTCTCATCCGGACGGATATCAGGTTTCCCGTCGATGCCCCTCTCGGCTCTTCGGACCATTGTCTGATCCGAAGTGTGGTGCCACTCAAGCTCCCCTCGCGGTTGCGTTCTGCAGGTTGCCGCCGTGTTTGGCATTACAGGTCGGCGGATTGGGACGGAATGCGGTCTTTCTTTGCATCCTACCCATGGGGGCGGGTTTGCTTCTCGTCGGATGATCCCAGCGCTGTTGCTGACTCTTTCACTGATGTGGTGCTACAGGGAATGGAACTATTTATTCTATCATCTGTGGTACCCATCGGAGGCAGATCTCAGCCTTGGTTTGGTCGCTCCTGTAAGACTGCATTACGCAGTAAGCAGGAGTGTTATCAAGCCTGGGCTGCGGCTTCGGCGACTCGGGATGTAAACACCAGCACACTTAAAAAGAAGTATAACTTCGCCTCCATGTCCTTTAAAAGAGTTATTGCCGAGGCAAAGTCAGAGCACATAGGCAGAATTGGCGAGAAACTAGTTCGCCTTCCTTCGGGAACCCGTGCATTCTGGTCTCTCGCCAAAGGCTGTCCAAGGGAATTTCTGTAAGCCATCACTACCATCTCTGCACAGGGAGGACGACTCAATGGCCCAAGCCGCAAGACAAAGCCGACCTTTTAGGCTCCCTTTTTGCATCCAACTCGAATCTTGATGACGGGGGGAAAACACCGCCGACCATCCCGCGGTGTGAGTGCTCCATGCCTGATGTGCCGTTCTCACAGCGCTCGGTTCGCAAAGCACTCCTCTCCCTGGACATCCAGAAGTCGAGTGGGCCTGACGGAATCCCCCCAATTGTGCTGAGGACGTGTGCTCCGGAGTTGGCACCGGTCCTAACGCGTCTTTTCCGGTACTCCTACTCCCAAGGCGTAGTTCCGAAATCATGGAAGACAGCTTTTGTCCACCCGATCCCTAAAAAAGGCGACCGCTCAGACCCGTCCAACTATAGGCCTATCGCCATCACCTCCTTGTTCTCCAAAATAATGGAATCCATTATTAACTGCCAGCTCATGCGTTACCTTGAGGATCACCAGCTGATTAGTGACCGCCAATACGGTTTTCGTCGGGGTCGATCAGCTGGTGATTTTCTGGTCTACCTGACCCATAGATGGGCGGAGGCAGTAGAGTCCAAGGGGGAGGCGTTGGCCGTTAGTTTGGACATTGCGAAGTCCTTCGATCGGGTTTGGCACAAAGGGCTTTTTTCGAAGCTCCCTTCCTATGGGCTTCCCGAGAAATTGTGCAATTGGATCACCAGCTTCCTTGCAGATCGGAGCATCAAGGTCGTTGTAGATGGTGCATGCTCCGACTACAAGCCTATTAACGCTGGTGTTTCACAAGGCTGTGTGCTATCACCAACGTTGTTTCTTCTGCATATCAATGATATGTTGCTAACTGGTAACATTCATTGCTATGCGGATGACAGCACTGGTGATGCTTTATACACCGACCGTGCCAATATTTCTCGGGAAGACGTCGCTGAGTACCGGAACAAACTTTTGTCTGAAGTCGAGTCTTTGCTGAACAAAGTCTCGGATTGGGGACGACTAAATCTAGTCCAGTTTAATCCTCAGAAGACACAAGTTTGCGCGTTTACCGCTAAAAAGAACCCCTTTGTCGTATCTCCTCAGTTTAAAGGCACTCCCCTTCTTGCCTCAGGCAGTATCGGAATCCTCGAAGTCGACATATCCAGTGACGTGCAATTTCATGGTCACTTGGAAGAGAAGGCCAAATTGGCCTCTAAAAATCTTGGCGTGCTCAGCAGAGCGGGACAGTATTTCATGCCGGCACACCGCCTGCAACTTTACAAGGCGCAGGTTCGGCATCACATGGAATACTGTTCCCATCTCTGGGCAGGGGCTCCCCAGTGCCAGCTCCTTCCACTTGACCGCATCTAGCGCAGAGCGGCTCGAATCGTCGACGACCGAGTCCTTTTCGATCGGCTCGATTCATTGGCACTGCGAAGACATGTTGCATCTCTTTGCATTTTCTTTCGCATCTACCACGGGGAGTGGTCTGAGGAATTGTTCGGATTAATTCCAGCTGCCAAATTTCACGAACGCACGTCGCGGCAGAATTCCCGATACCATCCACACCATCTGGATGATTGGCGGTCCACCACTGTGCGATTTAGAAGATGTTTTCTTCCTCGCACGACTGCCTTGTGGAATCGATAACCATCAGCGATTTTTCCGGACCGATACGATTTAGGGACCTTCAATAAAAGAGCCTACTCCTTTTTAAAAGGCCGGCAACGCATCTGCAATTCCCCTGGTGTTGCGGTTGTTCATGGGCGGCGGTAGTCACTTATCATCAGGTGAGATGCATGCTCGTTTGCCCACTTCTCGTATAAAAAAAAATTGATAATTATTTTAATAAAGCTAAATGACGCCGCATAAATAGATCCCACCGAGGTGAAGCCTGGGCGGATTGCTAGCATTTTATAAACGTTGTGTGTCAACATATACAAAATGTTATGTGTTTTGAGATCTTGGCGTGACCTTGGCGCTTGGCTTCGTGTGAGTTATTAACGTGGAGTGTGGTGTGTTGCGGCAGCGGCGAGTGCAGCAGCTCGGGGTGCGGGGCGCGGCGCGCGGCGCACGAGGCGGAGGCGGGCGCGCTGCGCCACGAGCTGGCGGCCGCGCGCGCGCAGCTGCAGCAGCTGCAGCACGACCTGCAGGCCGCCAACGAACAGGTGACCCCGCCGCCGCCGCCCATACAGAGCTGCGCTGCAGCACGCTAACGACTAGGTGCCGCCAAGCCGCCCGCTTTACGCGGCACGCGACGCTTATACCTATTCAGAGCGCTAGCTACAGCATAGCCCTACCAGCTAGTAGCCACGCTGCAGCTGGGCTCTATACGTATACGTATGACACGTTGTTTATACTGGCCGTTGTCATATGTGCTTCAAACATTTTCTGTACAGCATAACGTACGTGACAGTAAGCTTACTTGTAACTTATGTATTATAAAAATGGTGTCCTGTCTGGATGGTATGTCTGGAGGAGCAGCGTGTGTATAGCATGGGCGCACGCAAACACAAAGGAATCGTATGCCATACGAGTCGGGTAATGGTCCTTCAAGCCGGATGACGGCCTTTCGAGCCAGACAATGGTCCGGATAATGATCCTTCGAGACGGAAAATAGACCTTAAAGCCAAATAAATGTTTTACATTAATATGCAGGTGCGTTCGCTGGAGGCGCAGCGCTCGGACAACGGGTCGCCGCTGCGGCTAGCGGAGGCGTGGCGCGCGCTGCAGGAGCGCGCCGCGCACCTCGAGCGCGCGCTCTCCGCCGAGACGCGCGTCAAGCTGGACCTGCTGTCCGCGCTCGGGGACGCCAAGCGGCGTCTGCACATACAGGAAGGTACGTGAGCTGCGCGCGCCGCGCACCTCGAGCGCGCGCTCTCCGCCGAGACGCGCGTCAAGCTGGACCTGCTGTCCGCGCTCGGGGACGCCAAGCGGCGTCTGCACATACAGGAAGGTACGTGAGCTGCGCGCGCCGCGCACCTCGAGCGCGCGCTCTCCGCCGAGACGCGCGTCAAGCTGGACCTGCTGTCCGCGCTCGGGGACGCCAAGCGGCGTCTGCACATACAGGAAGGTACGTGAACTGAGCGTGCTCTCCGCACATACAGGAAGGTACGTGAACTGAGCGTGCTCTCCGCACATACAGGAAGGTACGTGAACTGAGCGTGCTCTCCGCACATACAGGAAGGTACGTGAACTGAGCGTGCTCTCCGCACATACAGGAAGGTACGTGAACTGAGCGTGCTCTCCGCACATACAGGAAGGTACGTGAACTGAGCGTGCTCTCCGCACATACAGGAAGGTACGTGAACTGAGCGTGCTCTCCGCACATACAGGAAGGTACGTGAACTGAGCGTGCTCTCCGCACATACAGGAATGTACGTAAACTGAGCGTGCGCTCTGCACATACAGGAAGGTACGTGAACTGAGCGTGCTCTCCGCACATACAGGAAGGTACGTGAACTGAGCGTGCGCTCTGCACATACAGGAAGGTACGTGAACTGAGCGTGCTCTCCGCACATACAGGAATGTACGTGAACTGAGCGTGCGCTCTGCACATACAAGAAGGTACGTGAACTGAGCGTGCCCTCCGCACATACAGGAAGGTACGTGAACTGTGCGTGCGTTTTGCACATACAGGAAGGTACGTGAACTGAGCGTGCTTTCCGCACATACAGGAAGGTGCGTGAACTGACCGTGCTCTCCGCACATACAGGAAGGTACATGAACTGAACGTGCTCTCCGCACATACAGGAAGGTACGTGAGCTAAGCGCGCAATAGAGGGAGATAAAGAAGACGTATTACTAGTTCTAGGTCTTAATTGCACTAATTCTATACATAAATACAAACGTCGTGTAGGCTTCATCAAAATATGCAGCCTCTACGTGATTTTATAAGCATATTCCTCTGAGTAATTTTTCACCAACAGGCATCACAGAGAAATTATATTTCTATATTCCTAATAAAGAATATTTTACAGGCACAATATCAAAACAAGAAAAAGAATTAGAGGAACTGAAAGCTCAAATGTTGGCGGTGATGCCTACGGAATTCATGACGCCAGTCAGCAGTTCAGTCTCCAAATTGCGTCTATCCGACGGATCGCCGCTGGACCCAAACGCCTCCGTCTACACGCCGAAACAACTCATGTCCGACGCCTGAGCAGCGCTGCTCATTCACGAGCAACTCTGCTCACCCCCGCCCTGAGCAAAGGTACGCCGAGCTACATACGAGCTTTCGATCGAGCCTCCACGCTGATCTTTGTATGGGCGTTCTTCTGATCTCAATTTTATTCTCTTTTTTTTACATGAACTGTGAATTTTGTGTCATCCCTTACATTACATAAGCCAATGTCCATACAAATATCGGTTGACGCCAGATATGAACAATAAGTGCAGTGTAAATCGAGGCAATTATATCAGAGTGTTTATTTTTGCATTGATGAAACATTTGGATTAACTTTGTGATACCTGTTAACTCTGAAATGGTTTAGTGGTGGATAAAATTAACAAAAGAGAAGGTAGATAACTATTACAAGCAGCGCACATTGTTGAATTGCTTTGACACCGAATACAAATATGCCATGTCATGTCATTTATATACTTTTCTTAATTTTCCTTTTTTACGTCAATAGCATTTTTGTATTTGTTGCCAGCTTCAATGCAATTCAACATTTATATAAAAATCTCAATTACGTCGTTTCACAAATTATTTTATTAAATTGTTATGGCCTCATAAAAATAATTTTATCCACCAACAAACATGGACAGTCCTTCCATTCGTCATAATATATTGCTGCTGCAGTCTGTATTAAAGCGTATTCTTTTAAATGTTATGTGATAAATTGTACAAAAATAAGATCTGATTGAGTCTTCTTCATTGTGTAATTATTATAGTTCTAATGACGTTATAGTCCAATTGTCGGTTTAACGTGTATGGCCACCATACTGTGGTGTAACACAAGATTCTTGTTACAAAAAAATTAAAAAAAAAAGATGGCGGACACGCAACTTGCTAGTTGTTTAACCATGACAGTTGTTTTTTTTTTCCTGTGAGGTTGATTGAATGACTGGCTGACAACAAGCACGCAACTTTAATTGCTTGTTTCATTAATTTGGCAACATTTTAGATTACATTTAACAAAAGCTCAGTACCTGTTTTTAACTAGTCATGTTTGGTTTAGTAATAGTATGAGTTTAAAATAGAAATATGGTTGAAAATGAGCGTGTATGAGTTAAAACATGAAGCAAAATAACCTCAGCCGATCATTTGACAGAATTTTTACATTTCGTAAACGTTTTTCAAGATTAAGCATTGTGACTTTTACCTATTATAAATTGACTGTCGTATAGATAGCGGCGCGAGTTCTGAGCATAAAGTGGCATTATCTTTGCATATACATTTTATATTCAATATAACAATAGTCTTCCAGACCGAATTTCGGTCACGGCGGCGAATCTCAACATAGCCATCTGCGCGGGACAGGATTAAGGTACACGAGTGTATGTGCAAGCTCTGGTGCACTCTATTCCCTCACTAATATAGTCCGATGGGACGGTAATGAATGGGACGGTACGGAACTGTTCATGCGTGAGTCTGACTCGCATTTGGGCGGTTTCTGTCTGTTTTGTATTAAATATGCCTCACGCCTGCTCACGACTCGTGCCGCTATCTATGAGGGCGGTGAAATCCAAAACAATAATCCGAAAATAACAATTTTTAAATTGTATTTTAATGCAATGGAAACATTTAGAATAAATTTTATTCAAGAGCTTATCAACATGTACAATATTTTGTAACATAAACTAAATTACGTTCATTTTACTACGACAATAATATCATTGACAGAAAATTTAAAGTTGCGTGCGTTTTTATACATTTTTTTTTAAATTTCTAGAACTAATAACATCATAGCTTCTATTAATTATTAAACTAAGTTGGTTTCCCATGTGTTCACAGTTTGTATGTGCTGTCACAGTGCTATGTATTGTGCATTGGGAGAATGTTTTTTGGAGGCAGTGGGATTATAATTCTTGTTGAAGCATCTACTTATCTAGCAACACATGTTGGAAACTTTGCTGTTTGGAGTATAATGGGATATGCTTAAAATATTGATGTCTGGTTTTATTAATATTTCTCCAAGGCAGTGACTTTGCATAAAAACTATATACCTAGATTAGAGTTTAGATGTTTTTTTTTGTTTGTTTGATTAACCCAAAACAGACCTCTTAAGAGACTGAAACTTTAGTACAGTTTGATTAAGTTAAAGTACATTTATTACTGGAAAAGCTACTGTTATAAAATTAAATTCTTTAGGTTATTTTACCAGTCTTGATTTTTTGACTCTATAGATAGGTTAAATGTGTTCTTATATACCCAATCACATGTATCGTGCGAGTTTAAAAAAATGTCTTATTTAAATATCAATAATTAAATCCAATATGTGTTATTATGTGGGTAGATGCTAAAATATCTTGTTATCTTGTTTCTTTGTTTTAACCAGTTCCAACTTACTTCCATTATGCTTTCAATATTTTATAATCTTATTGTGTTTCCATTTAAGTGTTCTACCTAATTTGTTACTAGGGCATTTGTCTATGATTTCTCACATCTTTCTTTCTGCCTACTTATTTTCATTTTTCTCAATTATACTCTGCGTTCGTAATGTTATGCTGTCCATACATTATTACTTGCTCATATTGACACATTCATAAAAATGATCAAATTTATGTTTATATATATATTTAATATGTATAATAACAATACTTCTCCAACCATACACACAGGCATTTCCTATAAATTCTTCCAAGGACAATATCAAGAACATTCAATCTGTTTAAAAACGTCTTCTTCTACTTTAAACTTATTTTTCTGTCCTTACTAATTAAGTCCCACTGAACAGTGCTTCCCTAGTCATATTTGGAAGTTGTTTTTTGGCCATATGTTGCATAATAAAATTTCTCGTTCCACTGACTTACATAAAATACAATCACAAAAATACACATCACAGTCGAACGCACATGAGATGTTATAAAAATTGTTGTATTATTATTGAGATTGTGACACACTTTGTCGACTCTAGTCTTACCCGAGGCTCATTCTGTGAGGTGATGTGAACCTTTTGTTTCGCACACGCCTTCTGAAAGCAGTCTAATGTTATTTTAAAACCTAAGTTTTATAGACGTCTAGTTTTTTTTAAAATCTGAATTCGCACTGGCCTTGAAGTCAGATCCGTTGTTTAATTTTAGAACATATAAATACATGAAGTACTTAACATAGTTTTTTAATTGGATGTGATTTACCGACTAACTTGCATTTTTTTAATGAAGTCAAGATGTCAGCAGCAAAGACCATAGACAGCAGTATATATTTTCATGCACATTTTTCTGGGATGCAACCGATTAGGTGCAATTGGTACAAGCAGGAACGATCTGAATTTTCAATACTGAAATATAAGCGATAATGTTTGTTTGTATTATAAACGGAAGCTGTAAGAGCAATAAAAAATCAGACGCGTTTCGTGTTTTTATTGGTTTTCTTGCTATTACCTGAACCCATTCATCCAAATGTGACTCATATATTATCCTCACAAAAATTTAAAAATACAAGAACAATATTAATAATGTATTTATTTAATATATTTAGTAACCCATGTAATTGACAATTCTAAAAAAGCAACGAGTGCAAGTGCAGGTGTACTCTATTCCTTAGTTTACTTGGCTTAATGGGATGGCAATTCGACACGATCGGAGAGAGATCAGGTGCAGGACCAACTTTACGTGCTTTCCGAGGCACGGGAGTGAAACACCGTCAACTTCGACTCCTGGTTGCTACTTAGAAATTCTTGACAGTAAAACCAATTTACTGATTTTGACCTGACCCGAAATCCTAAGACGGGACTATATAAATATAATCAGTTTTTATTCAAGTATGCTCCTCTCAAAAAGCAAAAAGGTACTGCATGGCATACAGGTGCTTAAACAACAGTAATGTCGACTTTTCATTCTTTACTGTTCCTAAGGATACCGAAAGGTAATATATTATTATTTATAGATAGCTCTAGATAATTAGGTACTTAGTTACTGACGCCATAGTTATCATCATCATCATCATTACAGCCCTTCACAAGTCCACTGCTGAACATAGGCCTCCCCCAAAGAATGCCACAAAGCACGGTCCTGAGCCACCTGCATCCATCGACTTCCTGCATGTCTTACCAGGTCGTCACTCCATCTCGTGGGGGGACGCCCTACACTTCGCCTACTGGTACGAGGCTGCCACTCGAGAACCTTTCTTCCCCATCGGTTGTCGGTTCTTCGAGCTATATGGTCGGCCCACTGCCACTTCAGCTTACTAATTCGTTGGGCTATGTCGGTTATTCTGGTTCTACTGCGGATATCCTCATTCCTAAGTTTATCACGCAGAGAAACTCTGAGCATAGCCCTCTCCATAGGTCGCTGAGCGACCTTGAGCTTCCTCCTACGGCCAGCAGTGAAGAACCACGTCTCAGTTCCGTAAGTCATCACTGGCAACACGCACTGGTTGTACAATTTCGTTTTAAGGTTTTGAGGTATGTCTGACGAGAAGATGTGTCGTAGCTTCCCGAACGCTGCCCAGCCGAGTTGAATCCGTCGATTGACCTCTCGGTCGAAGTTGGACTTACCTAGTCGGACTATTTGTCCCAGGTAAACATACTCGTCAACAACTTCGAGCTTAGTGCTCCCAACAACTACCGGCATAGGTGTGACATGGACATTAAACATGATCTTTGTTTTGTCCATGTTCATCTTAAGACCTATCCGTTGGGAAACACTATTGAGGTCATTGAGCATAGTGCTTAGGCCCTCCAGCGATTCTGCCATAAGGACTATATCATCGGCAAATCGAAGGTGAGTGATGTACTCGCCATTGATGTTGATACCGTATCCTTTCCAGTCCAGAAGCTTGAAAACGTCTTCCAATGCAGCGGTGAAGAGTTTCGGGGATATGACGTCACCCTGTATTACACCTCTCTGCAATTGGATAGGTTTCGTACTCTGGTTCTATACTCGGATAGCCATCGTAGCCCTACTGTACAAGCACTTCAACACTTCGATATACCGACAGTCAATTTGGCACCGCTGAAGGGACTGCAGCACCGCCCAAATTTCGACGGAATCAAAGGCTTTCTCATAGTCCACATACGCTAGACATAGTGGCAAATTGTACTCTTCGGACTTCTGTACAACTTGCCGAAGGGTATGTATGTGGTCTATGGTGCTAAAGCCTTTTCGGAAACCGGCTTGTTCGGGAGGCTGGAAGTCGTCAAGTCTGCGCGCGAGACGATTCGTAATGACTCTCGAAAACAGCACGTAGACGCGGCTCAGAAGGGAAATCGGTCTGTAGTTCTTCAAGAGGGCGTTGTCACCTTTCTTGAAGAACAAGACCACCGCACTTCTGCTCCACGCCTCCTGTGTAATGCCACCATGGAGGACGGAATTAAAGAGCTTCTGAAGGACTTCAAGTACCGGTCTTCCACCCGCTTTCAGAAGCTCCGCTGTAATTCCATCCTCACCTGGGGCCTTACCGTTTTTAAGGTGCTGGAGAGCCATTCTAATCTCGCTCAGACTGACGTCCGGGTTATCTTCGGAATAGTGTCGGATGAGACTCGCTCTTGGATCGTTACTTACACTTGCATGTGGCTCCAACGATGACGTGTACAGCTGCCCATAGAACCTCTCAATCTCACTCAAAATCTCAGGTGTCCCGGAAACGATGCTGCCACATTCCGTCTTCAGCTTTGACAGTTGGCTCTTTCTGGCAGACAGATCTCTGGTAAAGACTTTGGAGCCTTGGTTCCGCTCTATCGCTTCTTCAATACGAGCTGTATTGAAGTTGCGTAAGTCCCGCCGCATGCATTTGGAGATGTGTCTGTTCAGATGCCTGTATGCTGTCAAGTCTGTTGAAGAATGTAGCTTCATCTCCCGTCTAACAGCCATGAGATTAAGAGTGTGATCGGAGACTTTTTGTTCTTCTGCGGCGGGTCTTGCAGAACTTAGCTCCGACCGCATGGATAGTTTCCACGAGCTTGTCATTTATATCGTCCACTTCATTGCAGTCTTCTAGGCACTGAAAACGGTTTTGTAACTCGAGCTGAAAGGTTTCGGGACTTTGGAACAGAGCGCGAGGGGGACGGAGCGTTGACTTCATTAGACGAGACCTCTCCAACTTAACGTTTAGGTTCAGTGTGCCTTTAGAGGTTGGTAATGGTTAGCCATTCGGTGATCGCTACCAGTTTTCACCCTCGCGATCACGGAGACATCACTGAACAGTTGTCGTCTGGTCGTCATAATGAAGTCAATCTCATTTTTTGTCGAACCGTCGGGGCTCGACCAGGTTCACTTCCTGTGAGGCCGCTTCTGGAAGAAAGAGTTCATCATAAAGAGTCCCTCTTTCTCCATGAAGTCGGCCAGCTGCTGGCCCCTTGGGTTCCGTTATCCTATTCCAAATTTCCCTACTTTCAGCTCACCGTTCTCTCTTGTGCCTAGTTTTGCATTGAAGTCTCCCATTAACACCGTATATTGGGTTTTGGAGGAATGCATGGCTCTAGAGATATCCTCATACATTTCCTCCACCTCCTGATCGGGGTGTGCCGAGGTTGGTGCGTAAACCTGTATGACCTTCAGCGAATACCGTTTGGTGATTCTGAGTATAAGGTACGCAACCCTCGTTGACACACTCCCGATCTTTACAACGTTGTTAACGAGAGACTTGTGGACGATAAATCCGACACCTCCTTGGGACAGATGGTCGCCCTCCCGGTGATAGAGCAAGTTGCCGGATTCGAAGATCCGTCTCCTCCCCCTCTCTTCGGACTTCGGATAATCCTATAATATGCCAGCGCAACTTGTCTATCTCTTCTTCCAGCTCCACGATCTTCTCGTCAGTCCTCAGGGTGCGTGCGTTGTACGTTGCCAGGTCGAGTCGTCTAAGGTGGCAACCGAACCTCCACCGGAGATTCTTAGCACCCCCTGCCCCGCCGTTACCATGGTCGCCACCGTAGCCAGTAATAGCGGGGCCGCCGGGGACTGGAGGCCGTCTGTTTGTTGCTTTAGTCATTGCGGGGTATTTGCCATAGCTGCCACGCTTGGCGAGCGGGTTGGCAGCCGCAGTTTTTTTATTATAATTTTGGCTATTATCAGGAAGATGCTGCTGCCCATCTTCTGCCTGTTTCCCTTTGTCGCCTTTTACGACACCCACGGGAGGATATGGTGTAGTGGTTATTCTTGACCGCCACTACACACTACACGGAATGTTAGTTACAGATTAATTATTTGATTTTTCGATATTTTTGCGTATAATGCCTTCAAAATATGTTCAATGTAAGTAGACCTCCCAGTACTAGTGACTATATATATATATAATATAATATAAATATAGTGACTATATATATAATATATATATAGTCACTAGTACTGGGAGGTCTACTTACATTGAACATATTTTGAAGGCATTATACGCAAAAATATCGAAAAATCAAATAATTAATCTGTAACTAACATTCCGTGTAGTGTGTAGTGGCGGTCAAGAATAACCACTACACCATATCCTCCCGTGGGTGTCGTAAAAGGCGACAAAGGGAAACAGGCAGAAGATGGGCAGCAGCATCTTCCTGATAATAGCCAAATATATATATATATATATATATATATATATATATATATATATATATATATATATATATGTGTATATATATATACTGGTTATTGGTTAGAGATTGAAAGTAGCCGCACTTTTGCCACTCTTTCATTAATAATGAAGTCGCGTGTCGCATATTTGTAAATAGCAAAAAAATTTGAAACTGACAAGTGACGGCTCCGTGGCGCAGTGCCTTAGTAATGAGTTGCAGCACAAGGGCCGGGTTCGAATCCCGGACGGAACAAGTATTTGTATGGCCTAGAAATAATTGTTCCGGGTCTAGATGTTTGTCTTTGTGTAATTTATGTTTATTAATTGCCTCTACGATACAGGAGAAAACCCTAGTGTGGGGGTAACATTCTTTTTAACAAAATAAAGAAATACTAATTTGTCGGAAATTCAACAGAAGATCCCAATTTTGATCTCGAAAATACATCAGGATAACGTTAATTATTAAAAATAATAAAAGTGTGAGAGCGGATGTTTAATCTTGCTTACACAATTAATCCTTATCCGTAATAAGACAGCGTAACGCACTATACATTCAGTATGGAGAAATTACAATTCGACCACACCGTAACACTTCCCCGCCACGATCACACACCAGTGTAACATGAGGTAAGTGATTACATGATAACACCAAAGTATGCAAACCAACAGAAACACCATTTATCTCAGTATAACACAGTGTAACCTCTCAGCAACACCATCCTCCTTGCCTGCACTAGAAGAAATACTACAACGAACAGAACCACGACACTATGTTGGCACTCATAGAATGACTTAAACGGAATCTCGCAATCTGCATCCACACTGAACTTTATACTGCAAAAACCAGTGGGGGGGGGGATATTACTACTATTCATCTACGTAATACGACATGACGGAAGTATAGATACATTGGACGTAATCATATGTTGTGTCCATAACACAACTTATTAGTTGTACTAATTATGCTAATTATTACAGAATGTATGTAAACAATATGCAGCACTACATATATAAACGTCAAGTCTATTTACATCTAAATTTATTGTGTCATTCTAAAACACAGATTCAACTGGTACCATCCGTGAGTGGTAAAATAAAATAAAAATTGTGGCAGTGTCACTAACACAGGTTGTTTTATTCCATTTAAAAGTTCGAGCATTCTTAATGAAAAACTCTGTAAAAGCAGTTTATATAATTTTAAATATATAGAAACTGGGCATTATTTGAATCCTAGAACTTGTTGACAATAAATAATTGAAAATATTTTTCTTAAAAAATTATTTCATTATATTTTTATATGATCTTATTTTAGTAAAACTAAGGGGGTCTCCTTAGGTGACTTGTAAGTAATATAATGTAATATCCATCATATTTGACCTTAGCTTCTTTTTTACAAAGGTAAGTGGTCTTTCTTTTTAACACATTTTTATATAATAATAGTAAAAAGTTTGCTATAAGAACCAGCCTGAGGTGTTTTAGTCAGTAGAAATTGTCCATAACACAGTAGTACAAAGTGGTTAGTGAAGGTCTGCAATTCTTGCTTCACTGACAAGGCTTTGTATTTCAAGTTGAAGTCTCAATGCTCTCTGTAAATCCATTTTCCTTAACTGTGTTGCAATATATCTTCCATAAATATCAAATTCATCCTCTTTGGATACTGATTCAATATTTGAATCCAGACTGCCTCTATAGATTCTGTCACACTGATCAGTGTTAGAATTGTGGATGTTGATCTTTTTTCTTTTCTCTTTAAATGAATTTTGTCTTTCTATTCTGTTCAATTCAGTTGTATCATTTAAAGTTTCATATTTCAAAACTACACCGTATCCATCATCAGCGTTTGATGCATATATTTCTGAATGGTCGTCTTCATTATTTACATTTTCTGAATCATCTGACTGAGTCATGATAATCCATGCCTTATTATTTGATTCATCCGTATGAGTTTGCTCCTGAAAAGGCAAAAAGCATGGTATGAAAAAAATGTTCAATTAATTGCCGTTTTTTAGGTGCAGTCGCAAGTCACTGGCAAAAAATCTGAACACAAAAATATTTTTTTCTTACTAAAATGTTAAAGCTGATAGCATTAGCTTCAAAATGATTATAAAATGTTGTAATGTTTCTTGCTTACACAACCCAACAATATGTTGTGATCGGTAACCACCCTTTTTATGCTTGTTTACGATAGTGCTAATGAAGGGTTACTGACCCATATAAAACGTTATCTACCTGACACACTCTTATCAGTTAGCCGTCAAACGTCAACCGATACACATCTCCGTTATTAACAAACAAGAATTCTACCTGAAAATGTACACAACAAGTGATGAAGCTACTCAAGTGGTCACCTTATTGTGATAAGGCCAGGCTCAGCGTGAAGTGGCGCATGCGCTAAACATGATCCAGTCTGCTGTTTCCAGAGTTTACCATCCATACCAAGAGACTGGTAACTTTAACCGAAGATGTGGTTCCGGAAGAAAAAGGTGCACATCGGAGAGAGATGACAGATTCATTGTCAGCACATCGCTGAGAAATCGGGCCCTCACTGGCGTTCAAGTCCAACAAGAGCTCAGAGAAACGCGAGGAGTGGCTGTGAGTGGCTGGACAGTCAGAAGACAACTTAAGGCAGCTAACCTTGAGCGAAAAAGGCCAGCAACTGGCCCCAAATTAACCTCAGCCCACCGAGCAGCCCGCGTTTGTCAGAGGACACGTTGACTGGACTGACGAACAATGGAGCTCCGATTTCTTCTCAGACAAAAGCAGTGTGCTTGCATGGTAGCAATAGAAGGGGACAAGTCTATAGAAGACCCGAACCCGACCCGCTGCATCAAAGAAAATGTGGCTTTTGGAGGAGGTTCCTGGATGGTGTGGGCGAACATTTCAATGGATGCAAAAACCGAGTTGGTTTTTATTGAAACTGGCGGTCGAGTGGGAGGATTGACGGCGAACCGATACATCGAAGAGATTTTAGGGTATCATGTCGTTCCCTACGCCGGTTTCATCGGCAAAAACTTCATTTTAACAGTATTTACAGGAGGTCAAAATTGCTGCTGTGGACTGGCCAGCGCATAGCCCCGACTTAAATCCAATCGAGCATTTGTGGGATGAACTTAAAAGAAAAGTTCGGGCTAGAAATCCTGCACCAGCCACAAAATCGGACCTCAAAGCGGCGCTCGTTGAAGAATGAAATAGCATCGAACAAGATCGGGTAAAGAAACTTATTCGATCCATGAAGAAGCGATTGGAAGCTGTTATTAGGACCAGATGGGGAACACTAAATATTGATAAGTTAATTTTAATTAAATTAATATTTCGATGAAATTAAGTTTGAATTTTCTTTACAGTTAATTATCACCTTGTTTCGATATTTATGACTCCTTATCATTTAATATCTTTTTCCTTACCATAACTAAATTTAAAAAAACCAACGAATACCACTCATTTTTATGCTAAAATTAGCTGCTTTGAGATGTTAAAATCAGAAATAGAATGAAAGCTTCAGATTTTTTGCTATAGACTTAATCGTGAGCGTGTGTCCTGAGTAGACTTTTTTGCTCACGAGTGTAGTTATAAAAAGCCAATGGTCAGTACAGATAGATTACAGAAGCAATAAATGTTGAGAAAGAAACTTTCAGAAGTGACTGAAATTTGAAAAACTAAAGAATAATAATCCTGTAATATATGGGTATGAATTTTAACATAACACAAGCACCGAATTCAATATAGTAATTACCATCATTATTCACAACAACTCAAGTTTATATCCGAACATATGCCTTCCACATAGAATGGCATAATGTATGATCCAACTCCAAAGCCACCTGCGTTCATTGACTGATTGCATGCTACATATCACTGAACGTTTTTTAACTTTATTTTTAATTAAATAAACATAAACTAGAAATGATTGAATTAAAACTTATTACATGGTTTTATGTATTTTTAATAAGTAATATTCATTTACCTCATCTACCACAGTTTTCTTCAAGTTTTGCTTAAAACATCTATGCCAGTCTGCGAACCATTTGATGGTGGGTATATACTCCGAATTAGGACTAGACCTTGTCCTTATTTTAGCAATTTCTTGTGAGTAAGTCGATTTTAAATTCCTAATTTTTATTTTCAATTCGCTTTCATTAATCCTTATACCAGTACGAGACATAAATTCAGCAATTATAGCTTGATACGCTTTCTGCCTTTTATCTTTGAATTTGTAATGTTCATGATCGGAGTTCCATAGGCACTCGCAATTTAGATAAATTTTAACAAACTGATATGTCTCATTTTCGCCCCACCTCATATTGTCAGTAAACAAACTTTTTCAAAACATAAACCAACAACAACATCGTCATATTTATCGTCTTGGGCTCTTGCTCTCGGCCATAGAATACTTTACTCCACAAACTATATAGAAACCACAAACTATATAGAAACACTACGCGTTATAGAAACACTACTCTCCACAGCTACTCTGGGCCAATACATTCCATAATCTCATTACCTATTTATTTTTATTTATTTGTAAACAGAGAAAATTTATCTATGGCCTAGTGATGGGACTCGAGTCACTCGAGTAGCTTTTATTTTACTCGCACTTGAGTAATAATATTTATGACTACTCGGATTACGATTGACTCGAGTCAACTTGGATCACCCGAGTGGCCTGTACCGACTCGAGTGAGAAATTCAAATTAAGACAGGCTTAGCCGATGTATCTTCCATTTGAAATCAAGTACAAATTTATTTGAGTGAGTTGTTTGTTTTAGTAATATGTTTATTTAAGACTGTTTGCTATTAGTACGTGTTCGAAATAAACGGTAGATAGCTTTTTTGGAACTTTTTACGACAGAAATGTTTAACAAAAAATGGTTATTTGAAAGTTGTACAAGAAAGTTAGAAAGATTTCAGGAGTGATTCCAAGTTCCTCTCATGCGTGTTCTTAAACTACTAAAGGTGAGAGTTCTGTTTCCACGTCTGCCGATTCCAATTCTACATCAATGAAACGGCGTTTTCAGCAACTACAGCTTGCAAGATCTAATGCATCACTTACTAAGCAAACAAAGAAACATATCTTAAGCTCTAATCAAAATGATTTCTCAAGACTTATAACCTTTACAAATAGTGGAAAACAATGTTTTTATTCGTTTTTGACAGGCGAGTAACTCGAGTCAAAAAAGTCACTCGAGTCTTATCTTTGTTCGAGTGTCTCGAGTGAAAAAATTTCACTCGCGTCCCATCACTACTACGGCCACTCTCGGCCATAGACATTCCTCTATCTACGCTCTCGACCATAGATAGAGGATTGATTAACATCGTAGATAGAGGATTGACTAGATAAAGCATCCGCGTATGCTTTTGAGATAGAAATAGGCGGGAGGTACTTTCACTGGGTTACCAGATATTGTTCCATTTCCCCCGTTATGGGTTTATTTATATTCACAGCACTTACATTCATACAAAAAACTTAATTGTTACCATAAAAAATGTTCTTTTATAATTCAGATGATTAATTAATTTCTCTTGAAAATTCATTCTGTGATAAAAACTACGGACGGAAACGGCGTAAAAACAGAATCATCATTCTGTATTCAACGGCGCATCGACGATTTTACTGGACATTCAATAAACTCTTTGGATTTCGACGGCACTAAGTGAAGGCGCTTATAGCACTAAGTGTGATATCGCTAATAACTAACAATATGTTATGTATGTACTTAAATGTTAATTGAGACTAAAAATATTAAATAATAAACAAAAATTTCCTTGTGTCAAGTTTTGTTGTTTTTACAAAAAAAAAATCAAAAAATGTTTTAACATACCATTCCATCACAAGTTCAGTGCTGAACATAGACCTTCGAAAGGAAAGGGTTACCACTTAGGTTTTGTAGTACAAAACACGGTTATGAGCCTACATGTTTTGCTAAGTTTGTGTCTTGTGTGCGGCAAGTTGTGGCGTACAAGAGAATTTGTCTGTACACGGGATGATATTACCCCGCGTCGTAAGCAGTTATACAAGATGGGTATGGGACAGCAGCACTTTCCCGATGAAAACTTAAAATAATAAAAAACTGCGGTGGCCAACCAACATAACGCATATTTTCACGTAGGCGTGGCAACTATGGCAAGTTATCCTATGAGGATATCTATGGAAGGCCTGTTTAGGTGACTTACTTATGGTTAGGTGGCTTAATCATGTTACCTAATGGTTAAGGTGGTAAAATGTTTTAGTTAATATACGTTGTAAAGTATCAACAAAGGGTTTTTTTTTGTAATATGTTGGTATATAAAATAGAAACGAATGTTTTATAATATTCTATTTTAATTTACCATGCAGTGTAAGATTATCTGCTACCTCATATCATTCCATGGGTGGTGTATGAGGCGACATAGGGAAACATCAAAGAAGATAAACAGCAGCATTGTCCTGATAACAGCTAAATAATGGTTGACAACCCGCTTTCCAAGCGTTCAAACTATGCCAAATAACTTATATATATATATATATATATATATAATTTGCCTTGTATATAATATATTTTAATGGTATAAATAATAAGGTACAACTCCAAAACTATACTTAGATAATACTTATCTCTTATTTCTTACTTAATATTATAAATTATTATTTCTTAATTTATTTACACATTAATGTTTATAATACCTTTATAAAAGGGATTAAGGGTGGACTAAATGTCCCATTGGTAGGCATTCCCAGTCAGTTTTACAATTATTATTGCATAATAAATTATTCATTTGTATATTTAGGTCAAGATTTTAAATTAATTATTTATTTATTTTATTTAAATCTTTATTTGCATAAAACATGGTAGTACAGATAAAGTTCCAACATTTCTAAATGAGGATTCATGTTTAATCAATACATCTATAAGTAAATATTTTGTCATTGTCATGCCCCCAATTATTACAAGTCATAATAATACAGAATGTCAGCATTTGAAAATAAAATAAGCAATGCTAGTCAATTTTTAATACATACAGAACAATGTCAAAAATCATAACTACCAACAAGATCAAACTTATGTCACTTATGGAGAAACAAAAAGATACAACAAGAAATTATAACATTTAAAAATTATCTTAATTATATTATAAATTACATAAGTTAAGCATATTTAGTCCACCTAAAACAATGAGGCTTAAAATGTTTTGAGCATACACTGCTAGTTTAGTTGGTTACCTATAAGCACTACCAGTAGCGATTATCCAACTGCTACGGAGATAGCTGATTCCTTAGGAAAGCTGTGAAATAATATATTTAAAAGAAATTAATATATTAGATATGTAGTACACTTTTATATCAAGGTATTTGACAAAAAAAAATCAAGTATGTGTATCTGTGCATAAACACAATACCTATAACAATTAAAACAATATCAATTGATTTATTTAAATAGCAAGTATATATAAATGTAATGATAATATTATTCATACCAAACATTTAAAAAAATTATGTACATATTAAGCTTTAGATATTGTTAATTAATACATTTATAGCCTAACAAATGTCCTCCACTGCTGAACATAGACCTCCCACACAGTTTGTCTCCAAATAACTGCAGTTGCCAATTATCCTGCCAAGCTAGGCAGCTATCACAAAACCTATAACTTTTGATACTGACTAATGGTAACGGTAAGTATGTTATCATCAAATTTTTTCTACATCATTAATTGAGAATATTATCTTATGTTGTGTGTTATTGTGTACCTTAAGATTAAGACTTATTTATTTATTTATTATTTTATCTATATTTATATTTATTTTTATATTAGCATGACATTTTTTTTTTAATAAATATTGTAATGCAATTTTTGCTAATGTATAATAGAATGAATGGAATGCAATAAAGTTTTGTGCATCTGATTTCAGGCAATACATATTTTGTGAAATTAAATATACTTTGCCCAATATTTATGTACTTGAATCCATACATGTTTTCAGCTTGATACTTACATATTATTTGTGAAGTCTACGTAATATGGAAAATGATTGAAAAGTTGTAGGGCAATAAGGAGTTTCCTTTAAAGCTGAACATAAAAGTGTATGTATATATTATATAACATTATGTGATTCATATATATGGATATAACTACTAATCACAATAACAATTATTATTGAACAATGCGAAAACATTATTGTACACGCTGATATCCCTAAAGTTTCTATAACCCTACCAAATCAAAAAGTACACGTTTGTTATGACTTTAAGCTTTGGAATGACCGTTCAAATTAAGGAGCATTATCATGAAGAATTTACAATTTGGGAATCCGAATATTTGACAAAATACATCACAAAGTTCATTAAAAACATGAAATGTTACACTTTATATTCAAAACAATAGATATTAATCACTACAAGTAGCAAATGTAAGCACAAAACAAACTTACCTTTGAAAGGTAATATTATCAATTTTTCGTTGACTGATGCTGTTGCATCCTAAAATGCTACAACTTACCACCTTTTTCACCTTACCTAATAACTAAGATCCACAAAAAACACTAAATTCAATTATCTGTTTGCTTATAATATCAATATTATTCAAAAGAGCTTGACATCGTTAATGTCAAATAAAGGAGGGAAAACGATCAAAAACGCATACGTAGAAAAAGACAAGAAATATAGATTTGCTTCTCCCTTACTCTTATGTCCAACTATATACGTGCATTCCTTTCACACGCTGATGACGTCACTGAATGTTTAGTCTATAAGATACTATGTCTATGATTAACATACTATGTCTATGCTCTCGGCTCTCGGTCATAGACTTTGTATCTTATAGACTAAACATTCCGTGACGTCATCAGCGTGTGAAAGTAATGCACGTATATAGTTAGACATAAGAGTAAGGGAGAAGCAAATCTATATTTCTTGTCTTTTTCTAGGTATGCGTTTTTGATTGTTTTCCCTCCTTTATTTGACATTAACGATGTCAAGCTCTTGTGAATAAAATTGATATTATAAGCAAACAGGTAATTGAATTTAGTGTTTCTTGTGGATTTTAGTTATTAGGTAATGTGAAAAAGATGGTAAGTTGTAGCATTTTAGGATGCAACGGCATCAGTCAACGAAAAATTGATAATATTACCTTTCATCGGTAAGTTTGTTTTGTGCTTACATTTGCTACTTGTACTGATTAATATCTATTGTTTTCAATATAAAGTGTAACATTTCATGTGTTTAATGAACTTTGTGATGTATTTTGTCAAATATTTGGACTCCCAAATTGTAAATTTTTCATAATAATGCTCCTTAATTTGAATGGTCATTCGAAAGCTTAAAG